GTGCTGGCGCCACCTTCTGGTCACATTTTTGAATTGCACCAGCCACCCTGAACCTGCGGCGAGGTGGGCTAGAGTCTAGGGGGGGGCCCCAATTTTCCAGTTTTCTCTCCCCCATACAGAGCAGCCACGGGGCATGTTCCCCAGGGGCACTAAGGCTATGGCCCCAAAGGCCTTTTTAACTCTTACTCTTTTTGTTTGCTTGTTTGTTTGGAGGCCACGCCCAGCAGTGCTCACTAATCACTCCTGGGACCATTAAGGGGTTCCGGGGATCAAACCCTGGTCCGTGCAAGGCGAGTACCCTCCCCGCTGTCCTTTTGCTCCCGCCCCGAGTGAGCGCACGAGTTGTCTCTTTAATAAAATTAAATTCGAATGGCACTACCAGGTGTGGCCAGAATAGTAAAATAAATCAAAATCGTCACTGTTACTGTCCTTCCGTTGTTCATCGATTTGCTCCAGCGGGCCCAGTAACGTCTCCGTTGTGACCATTGTTACTGTGTTTGGCATATCGAATACGTCACGGGTAGTTTGCCAGGCTTTGCCGTGCGGGCGAGATACTCTCGGTAGCTTGCCGGGCTCTCCGAGAGGGGTGGAGGAATCGAACCCGGGTTGGCCATGTTGGCTGCTTGCAAGGCAAACACCCTACCCACTATGCTATCGCTCCAGCCCAAATCAAAATTAAAAATGGACAAAAATCAAAGTCTACACTCTCTCTTTTCTCCCTCAAGTCACTTCTGTGCTGAGGTTAGACTGTGCCCATTCTTTCTCGCGCTTCCATTTTAATTTATTTTGTTTGGAGGTCCACCCTTGGCTGTGCTCAGGGCTTACTCCCAGTGGGACGTAGGGGTGGTGATGGGCTGAATTCAGGTCTCACCCCTATCGCATCTCTCCAGCCCGCGGGCAGTCAGGAGTCTCAGCAGCAACAGAAGCGTCTGCCTGTTGCGTCAACACAGGCTGTGGGAGAAACCGTCTTGGGAAATTCTGACGCCCTTGCTCCATCTTGCGGCAGAAGCAGAAGCTTCTTTGCTAGAGAAAGACCAAGCCCCGGCAGTGGGCGTGCATGTGGGAGGCCCGGGTTTGCACACCCGAGTTCCACAGGGGTCCCTGAGCACTGCAGGGAGCAAGCCCTGAGGAACCTGCCAGGAGTTAGCCCTCGGGCACTGCCAGGTGTGACCCCAAAACAAAACTATGGGGCTGCAGAAATGGTTAGCAGGGGAAGGTGCACTGTGAAAGAAGGGTCTACCCCAAGTGCCACTGGGGGTCACTCCTGAGCAGAGTCTGGATGGCCCCTCAGCACAGGAGGTGTGGACACCCCAATAAAACAAACACTGACTAACTGAAGTGATTAGGAATCCGGTGACCCCAGAGGGCAGGTGCTAAGAGAAAAGGAAGGAGGAGGGGAGGGAAGATGGGGCCTGACCCTTATCTCTTCCTTGTCCCCCAGCCCCCCACTGGGGTTCTGTGCACACCCCTGAACATCCAGTGTTGTTTTCAACCCAAATCGGCTGCCCTGCGGGTCCCAGCCAGGTCCTGCCCACACATTTGTGGGAGAGACTGAGGGGCTGGAGAGAGCGACAGGAAGGACGATGACCAGGTGGCTGGAATCATTTGGGGGTGACCGCGGGTATGATCCCTGCGGGTGGAGATGGTGTTGGAGCCGCAGGCATTTGTCCAAAGCAAATCTGAGGGCTGGGGCCATAAGTCCAGCGGGGAGGGCGTTTGCCTTGCACGTGGCAGACCCGGGTTCGATTCCCAACATCCCATGTGGTCCCCTGAGCACTGCCAGGAGTGATTCCTGAGTGCATGAGCCAGGAGTAACCCCTGAGTATTGCCGGGTGTGACCCAAAAAGCCAAAAAAAAAAAAGCCAAGAAACAAAATAAAGCGAATCTGACTGTCCCCCTGACAGAGGTGGGGTTTGTGGGTATCACCTGCGTGTCAATCAAGTTGTGGGGCACACGTGTCCTTTTCAACAGCCTCTAAGGCTTCCTGGGAATTAACAACGTTGTGTTGCAGCGTAAAACGCAAGAGGGGCTGTCCACTGGGGCTCTGTTTTACAGACCACCCCTCTTAAGGAGAACTGGGATGGGGCAAGGTCAGCACCCTACTGAGCGGGCTGGGTCACCCCTGGCAGGGGGGCTGGGTCCGGGGATGACGCCAGCCGGGGAAGGGGTGTAGCTGGGGTCACGTGCAAGCAAACTATCTCATCGCTCTGACCCAAGATCCGCGTTTTAAGGGGGTCAGAGCGATAGTTCCAAGTGTGAGGCATTTGTTTCACCTGCAGCCGATCTGGGTTCGATTCCCGGCACTCCATATGGTCTGCGCGCTGAGCACAGTCCCAGGAGTCAGCCCCGAGCACCACTGGATATGGTCCAGACTCCACCTTCCCCCCCAAAAAAATTGAATCATTTTATTTTGCAGGGGGAGGTGTTGGGTTTGGGGGCCGAACCCGGTGGTCAGGGGTTCCTCCTGGCCTGCTCAGAGATCACTCCTGGATTCGGTTCCTTGTAAGGCAGGTGGGCTAATCCCTGTACTGTCTCTCTGGCTCCCAGACTTTGAAGCTTTTTAGTTCATCCTTCCCGTCAGGCACCTTCCAAAGGGCAGGAAGTTAGTCCCTGGCCGGGGTAGGGGGTGGGGGTGGGGGGTTTGGGGGTGTGGAGCGCCGGGGCTGAGCCCCTGGCGTTCTCAGCAGCGCCCCCTGGTGCTCCTGCCGGCGACGGTCCTTCCCGCCGGTGAGCGCGCGGACGCCCCTCGGCGTTCCACTCCCGGGAAGCTGGGGCCCGGCCAGGGGGTGCTGTCTCTGGTCCTGAAAATCCGCCCGCGGCAGCCCGAAGGTCAGGATCTGCCACAGAAGCAGGCTTCCCGGCATTCCCTGGCTGAGGACGTCTGCAGGGCCCAAGGCATCCAGCTGATGGTTTTGATTGTTTCTCTTTTTTTGTTGACCACACCTGGCGACACTCAAGGGTCACTCCTGGCTCGGTGCTCATGGGACCCTATGGGATGCCAGGGATCGAATCGGGTTTGCTGTGTGCAAGAAAAATGCCCTTTCCGCTGTACGATTGCTCCAACCCGGGGGCCCAGTTTTGAATTTTTTTTTTGATCACCTCTTTATGCATGGCTGGGTGCGTCCTGCTACCGTCAAAGGGAAAAACTGTGACTGGGAATCAGGGGGCTCGCGGGGAGAGGAAGGGACCAGCTTCCAGGGACAGCTCCACAAGGAGGCAGCCAGCACTGGCTCAGAGCATCTGTGAAAACAGCACAGCCTTTAAAGAGAGAGAGAGAGAGAGAAAGAGAGAAAGAGAAAGAGAAAGAGAAAGAGAGAGAGAGAGAGAGAGAGAGAGAGAGAGAGAGACGGGCACGAAGCCCAGAGGGTCCCCCGAGCACCAGCAGGACCGAGCCCTGAGCAGCACTGCATGAGGCTCCATACCAAAATAATTTTTTTAATTTTAAATTTATTTATTTATTTTTGTAACCTCTTTAATTGATTCAGAGACGCTTACACCAAAATAATTTTTAAAAAAGTAAATAAATAGAACATGTTAGAACTGCTCAGAAGGCTGTAAAGGAATAACCAAGGCTGGAGGGAATAACCACTCTGAATGTGGCGACCCCCATGGCCCCCAAGGACCCCCAAAGTGCCCAGGGCCCTCCTCCCCCCTCACGGGCCCTCTTAGCACGGGCTCTCTTAGGCCTAACAGTACAGGAGGCTCCAGGCCAGGGGGAGCCTCAGAGACCTGCGGATGCTCTGCAGGGACTCTGGGGTCCAGAACAGAGGGGACACGCATACACACACACCACATACGCATTACACACATCCATGCATGTACACATGCCACATAACTACATACACACATCACACACATACATATCACACACATACACACATGCACACACACCACATACACACATCACATACATACACATTACACACATACATGCATGCACACACACATACCACATATACTGTATACACACATCTCACACATACATCACACACATACACACAACTTCTTAGAAATTTCAGCCTTTGGGCTGGGGAGATCATAAAGGGGCCAAGGGACCAGCCTTCCACACAACTGACCTGAATTTGATCCCGACACTGCATATGGTCCCCTGAGCACCCCCAGGAGGGATTCCTGAGCACTGAGCCAGGAGCAAATCCTGAGCAGCACAGGGTGTGGCACGACAATAGGGAGGGAGAGAGAGCGAGAAATACCACAGACCTTCCCCAAGAAAGATGAATACTTCACACATCCCAGGCTCAATTTTCTATTTTTTTTCTTTTTTGGGTCATACTCGGCCATGCACAGGAGTTCCTCCTGGTTCTGCACTCAGGATTTACTCCTGGCGGTGCCCAGGTGGCCCTATGGGATGCCAGGGATCGAACCCGGGTTGGCCTCATGTAAGGCAAACGCCCTCCCCGCTGTGCTATCGCTCCGGCGCCCCCAGCGTGGAACTCCCAGTTCCGCCAACCGTGTGTGATCCACACTCTGGTCTCTGCCCGCGGCGCTGCAGCCCCTCGCTTCGGGCTCCCTGAGCGGCCTGGGGTCCGCAGAGCCGCCCACCCCGCCTGGCACGGGCCAGGCCGTCCACTCGGCCGACCGCTGCCCTCTGCCTAGCAAGCCCAAGACTGAAGCTCCGCGCTCGATCGTGCAGGCCGGGGTGGGGTGTCAGTGCACCCCTGGGGTGCAGCACCTGCAGGGTCCGCCGCTGCTCCGGGCGGGAGGCAAGCGGGGATCCAGGAGGAACGCGCGTGTAGGGGGGCAGCGCATGCCTCGCACGGCCGACGCCCCGGCTGCCTCCCCCCAGCACCGGCCAGAGGACAGAGAAACACCACGCGGGAGCGGGGCGTGCGATTCCACGATTCCACGGCCCGGCCCGGACGGACGCCTCCCGCGGACCTCCCAAAGATGGCGCCGCCGGGATCCTGCCCCTCACCAACATGGCCGCCCGCGGGCGGGGCCGGGGCGGAAGTGACGCACCAGGAAGTCCGGTCTGGCGGGCCGCCCCGGAGCCGGGCAGTGGCGGGCCGCACGGGGGCGATGCCGCCGGCCGGGCGGCTCGGGGTCGCCGCGGCGCTCTGGCTGCTGCTGGCGGCGCGGACGGCGACGGCCATCGAGCCCATCAGCGTGGGCCTGGCCATCGGGGTGGCGTCGCTCACCGGCGTCCTGCTCAACCGGGATCTGTACTGCCGCTTCGCCGAGTGCTGCCGGGAGGAGCGGCCGCTCAACGCGTCGGGTAGGCCGGGCGCGCGGGCTGGGGGCGCCCCGGGAAGGCCCGGCCCGGGGGTCTGGGCGCACCCTGCCGGCCGGCCCCTCCCCGCGGCCCGGGGACCCGCTGGCGACCCGGCACTGCTCAGGGGTTCCTCCTGGCTTATGCACTCGGGAATTACCCCTGGCGGTGCTCGGGGGCCCCTATGGGATGCTGGGAACCGAACCCGGGTCGCCCGCGTGCAAGGCAAACGCCCTCCCCGCTGTGCTATTGCTCCAGCCCCTAACATGCCCCTTTCAACGTGCCCATTTCTCCCTGCAGCGCTCAAGCAGGACTTGGAGGAGAAGCTGTTCGGGCAGCACCTGGCCACGGAGGTGATCCTCAAGGCGCTGACCGGCTTCAAGAACAACAAGAACCCCAAGAAGCCACTGACTCTGTCCTTGCACGGCTGGGCCGGCACCGGCAAGAATTATGTCAGCCAGATCGTGGCCGAAAACCTTCACCCCAAAGGCCTCAAGAGTCGCTTCGTCCACCTGTTTTTGCCCACTCTGCATTTCCCTCATGAGCAACAGATAAAACTGTACCAGGCAAGGGCACCCCACTAACCCCTGGCTCCAGGGACTTGCCGGGTGCCACCCTCCTGCTAACTTTGGCTTCTGCTTCTGCTGAGTAAGGGCCCACCCACCCTGAGGCTCCTTTGCACAGTGCTCCTTTCTTGAATCCAAACGAATCCACTGGGGCTGTAGAGGCCAGTGTTTCCATCTCACCAGGAGAGGCGAGGTGTCTGGCGCCGTGCAGACTCTGGTCCAGCAGAAAGTCCCAGCTCCCAGCCATCCGGCTGTGCGTGGCCACTAAGACCCCTTAGCGAAGGGGCCCAAGTCTTTCTGTGCCTGGACCTGGCTTCACAGCGTCTCCCCAACCCGGCCCAGAGGCTTATGTTTACTCCCCTGGGGCTGCTATGTCCTTGCTCCCTCCCAAGCCTCGGGCTTGTTTCAGACAATGGACTTGGCCCACCCTGTGTTGAGTTGTTGAGTTGGCACCCTTGGGGACAGAATCAGAAACAGAAACTGAAGGAGGAAGGGCCTGAGAGGTAGGACAGGAAGTAAGGCCCTGGCCTCGCCTGCAGTGGCCTGGCCTCAGTTGCTGGCATCCCGTATTTCCCCCTGAGCACTGTGAGGAGAGGACCCCACCCATCACAGAGCCAGACGTAGCCCCAACTCCAGCTGGGTGTGGCAGACCCCCCCCCCCCATCAAGAAACGGAAAAAGGAAGTGGATGTGGGGCCGTGCACCCTCCCTGCCAGGCAGAAGAGTCCCAAACAGAATCCTTTTCTTCCTAGTTTTTTCTGTTCCCAGAAATACGGGGTGAAGAGGCTGAGCCCAAGGGTGGCTGCTGGCTACGGGTGTGGGGGAGTGGGTGGGGGTTGGCATTTGCTGAGGAACAGAGGCAGCCTAGCCCTGCAGGAGGACTAGGTAGGAGTCGTGCCAGTGACAGAGCAAGTGGCCCTTGGAGCCTCCAGAAGCCACCCTCGCCCCGTTCTTTGAGGAAGACACTTTGCACGTGACCGTCCTTGTCTGGGTGGCCCGGGTGCGGGCCAGGACCCCCGACTCAGGGCTGCGGCTGGTTTCCTGGTGCTCATGCTGACCCCGGTGGGCACACAGCGGCCCCCCTGCCCAGCCCTTGAGCGCCCACCCCTCCCCCCTCTCCCGGTGGGTCTAGGAGCAGCTGCAGAAGTGGATCCGTGGCAACGTGAGCGCCTGTGCCAGCTCCGTGTTCATCTTCGACGAGATGGACAAGCTGCACCCCGGGGTGATCGACGCCATCAAGCCCTTCCTGGACTACTACGAGCTGGTGGACGGCGTGTCCTACCGGAAGGCCATCTTCATCTTCCTCAGGTCAGCTGCCCACGGCTGGCCCACCCTGCCCCAGAGCCAGCGTCTGGGTGTGGGGACAGGCTGCAGAACGTTCTCTGTCCGTGCGGGGACAGAGAAGGGACAAAGGGGCCTTCGTGACCGAGGCAGCGGGTGTTTGTGGCGAGCAGTGTGGGCTAGGGGTGGCGGACTTCGGGGGCTGTTGGGAGGCCAGAGATAAAATCCCTTTCCAGGCTGGAGTGATAGGACAGCTGGGTGGACACTCGCCTTGCCCATGGCCGACCCAGGTTTCATCCCCGGCATCCCATATGGTCCCCTGAGCCAACCAGGCATAACCCCTGAGTGTTGCTGGATGTGACCCCAAAACAAGAACATGCTTAGGGGGCTGGGCTGGAGCCATAGCACAGCGGGGAGGGCACTGGCCTTGCACGCAGCTGACCCAGATTCAATCCCTGGCATCCCAGATGGCCCCGTGAGCCTGCCAGGAGTGCTCTCTGAGCACTGCAGGTATGGGCCCCCACCCCACCCCCAAGAAAAATCCTAGAGTTGTGCCTGTTTTTGAGTGTTACAAAGAGCCCCAGGCGGCGTGGGGAGGTGATGCCATGTGCTGTCCACGTGGGAATCCCAGCTTTGGGGCACCTGAGCACGGCTGGGACCTGGAAACCTCAGGGTGGCCCTAAATCCAAACAGCATTAACGTGCTGGCCTGGGAGTGATTTTAACCATCTCGGGGGAAGATGCTATTTTTCTATGTCCTGTAGCATGGAGTCGTTATCTCTTTCTTAGGGATAAGCTTAGAGGGGCCAGAGAGATAGTACAGTAAGTATGAAGCTTGTCGTCATGTGGCCGACCCGGGTTTGATGCCTGGGCCCCCAGATGGCCCCCCAAGCCCACCAGGAGTAATTCCTGAATGCAGAGTCAGGAAGAACCCCTGAGCATCACTGAGCATGGCCCCCAAACAAAACCAGAATGAACTCAAAAATGAACAAAACAAAAACCAGAATGAACTCAGAGGGGCCAGAGCTGTAGCACAGTGGGTAGAGCACTTGCCGCGAGCTTGGCTGCCTGAGGGTCAGTCCCCGGCACCCTATACGGTTCCCTGAGCCCCTCCGGGAGTGATCCCTGAACATGGAACTAGAAGGAAGCTCTGAGCACTGCTGGGTGTGGCCCCAAAACAAAGAATAAACTTAGAGACAGAGCAGGGGTTCGATGGGTGAGACCAACCCCTCTGTCGTGCCATCGCTGGCACCCCTGACCACCACAGGGTGCGCCCCACAATGCCCCCTCGGAAAAGGGGGCTGGAGTGATACAGCAGGTAGGGCACTCGCCCTGCACACAGCCAAATGGGTTTGATCCCCGACTTCCCGAGCCCCCAGGAGTCGTCTCCCTTTTTCCCTTCCACCCCCCACCCAAAAAAAGAATAAACTTAGAGCAGGTCTGTGCCGCCTTCGCCAGCCCGGGGCAGCCCCGTGCAGGTTCGGTCTCTGTGTCTTCCCAAACCCAGCAACGCGGGGGGTGACCTCATCACCAAGGCCTCCCTGGACCACTGGCGGGCGGGCAGGAAGCGAGAGGACATCCAGCTCAAGGACCTGGAAGCCGCGCTGTCTGTCGGGGCCTTCAACAATAAGCACAGTGAGTCAGCGGGCACCCCCCCCCCCCCAGCGCCGCTCAGCCTCGGGGCCCCTGCGTGTGGCCGTGTGGCCCCGGCTGACCCCCACGGGTGTCTCTGGCAGGTGGGCTGTGGCGCAGTGGCCTCATCGACCGCAACCTCATCGACTACTTCATCCCCTTCCTGCCCCTGGAGTACCGGCACGTGAAGATGTGCGTGAGGGCCGAGATGCGGGCCCGCGGCGTCGCTGTGGACGAGGCCGTCGTCACGCAGGTGGCCGACGAAATGACCTTTTTCCCCAGAGAAGAGAAAATCTACTCGGACAAGGGCTGCAAGACGGTCCAGGCGCGGCTGGATTTCCACTAGCAACTCCTGGCCACCGCCTGACGCACTCTGCAGTCTGGGGTTGCGCGTTTGCACCGGGGGCCGGAAGCTGCCCGTTATTTCCCAAGCTGGGGCGTGCCCGACTCCGTTCCAAGTGCCTTGCACATGCGGGGGGAGGGGGCCCAGCACCGAGCCCGACCCCCAGCGTGGGACTCCAGGCCCTGCAGCCATCTGGGCGTTTGAGACTCAAAGCTCTGCGAGGAGCGCGCGGTGATGAGAAGGATCTCAGCCCAGATTGGCCGCCCTTGCCCAGATGGGGGGCACAGGGGGGTGGCCACCCCGGGGGCTGTCACAGCCCAACCTCTGCCTGCCGTCCAGTGGCGCTCTGCTCACAGGACCAGAGCCAGCCCCTCTGCGCCCACATTTCCTCTGGAACTTGACAGTCACTACGAGGGGTCCCCAGCCAGGCGGGGCCCTGCCCTCCGCTCCGGGCAGCCGAGGGCCTGGCCCCCAGGGGGCTGCAGGCTGCAGGGGCGGCCGTGGAGACACGGTGGGGGTGGGGGTGGGGGTGGTTTGGGGTCTGCTGTCCTGATGCTCTTGGGGCCCTGGCCAGAGTTGGCGGGGGACAGCCTGCCCCTCCCTACCCGCCCCTCCCGTGCCGGCTCTGCTGACAGGTGTGTCAATGGCCCTGAATGCCAGGTGACTCAGGTCTCAGCTGTGACGCCGAGCCCGGGGCGTGGCGGGGAGGCAGGAAGGGTGTTGGGGTGTGTGCCCAGACCGCACCCCCTCAGACCTGCTGGGTGAGGCGGATGCCCTCGGTACTTTCGTCACCTCCCCTTCCTGGCCAGGTCCCCGTTTACAATGATGCAATAAAGAACACGTGGAGGCCACCTTTGGACCCGTTACTGTTGTGTAACCTGGAGAGGCCACTGCCGTGCACGCTCACCCCCATCAGACGAGAGCTTGAAACGACCTCTTGAATGTCAAAGAATAAAGTGGAAATGTTATCATGCCAGTGCCCCTTGTAAACGGGTTGTGAGCGGGTGAGCGGGTCAGGGCGGAGGGCTGGTGCGCCCCGGGTGCACCCGTTGGAGTGTCTGCACCGATGACACAGTGGTTACTGCCACCGCCCTTTCCAGGGTAGTAACCAGAGCGCCAGACGCGGCTCCTGAGACCTTCGGACAGGACAGGTGTTGGGGAAAACAGCCTGCTTTGGCGAGGGCTTTGCTCTGGGGCCACACCCAGCAGTGCTCAGGGCTTCCTCCTGGCAGAGGGAGAATGCAGTGAGGGTGCCAGCGATTGCGGGGGTTGGCCACATGCAAGGAGAGTGCCTGGCACTTGCCCGACCTGTCAGCCCAGCACGACTCGCCAGGATTAAAATTCTCTTTGCCTTCACACCTCTGCTCCCCACCGTTTCTGGGCCCTGAATCTCCTGGGGTGTCTAGGGCGGCTCTGTCCTGAGGCGCAACCCTGCCTCATGGACAACCACTGAACTTGCTACTAAGGTTGGGGGGCCCCCAGGCCAGCAGCTAGCCCCGAGTCCAGCTGGGACAGCATCACGCTCAAGGCTGGACATACTGCAGGGACGGGTTTGCTTTGTACCAGCGACCCAGGTTCCATCTCCAGCTCATGGGGGGGGGGGGGGTCCCACATAACCAAAACGAAGTGCACAAGGGGCCAGAGAGGACAACGTCTGGCCTGGCCTCGCATCCGACCCCGGTAACACATGGTTGCCCAAGCGGCCAGGTCTGGCTCCATCTCAAAATCCAACACTTGTGAAGGTGGCCACCCCCTGCTGGCCTCACTGCTGGCCAGGCCTGGGCGTGGAGTCACCTGGCAAGTGGCAGCTGGAATATCCGGGGAATTTTCTTGGACCGTCTGTCCCCCAGGCTCACGGCAGAGGTGAGTTCACTCACAGAGGAGAATCTCCCTGTCCTGGGCTGCCCCCGCCCCCAGAAGGGCCCAGGTGCGCCCACACCCACGGGGGACAGCAAACATGCCCGGTGCCAAGTTTCTGATAGTAAAAACCATTTTTAAATAAAGTTAGGCCCTTTCAGTAAAACTTAAAAGTCATCCGTCCTTGAAGCAGAAGACACTTAAAGATTAAAACATGATTTCCAAAAAAATCACGAGCGCTCGTCCAGGCGGCGGCGGAGGGGGGTGCAGTCCAAGGTCCGGCCCGGGGGCGTCAGTCGTCGTCGTAGTAGTAGTCGAGCTTGGTGAACACGGTCTTGCAGCCTTTGTCGGAGAAGACGCGCTCGTCCTTGGGGAAGAAGGTCATCTCGTCGGCCACCCTGGCCACGATGTCCTCGTCCACGGCGTAGCCACGGGCGCGCATCTCCACGCGGACGCACATCTTCACGTGCCGGTACTCCAGGGGCAGGAAGGGCACGAAGTAGTCGATGAGGTTCCGGTCGATCAGGCTGCTGTGCCAGAACCCGCCTGGCGGAGAAAGGCATGGGCAGCCGTGGGCCGTCGGGGGGGTGGGCCGTGGGGGGCGGGGCGTGGAGAGGTGGGCGGGGCGCTGTGGCTGGGGGCAGGGCATGGGCTGGAGCAGGTGGTCAGGGGGCGGGGCGTGGAGAGGTGGGTGGGGCACTGTGGCTGGGGCGGGGCATGGGCTGGAGCAGGTGGTCAGGGGGCGGGGCGTGGAGATGTGGGCGGGGCATGGGCTGGAGCAGGTGGTCAGGGGCGGGGCGTGGAGATGTGGGCGGGGCGCTGTGGCTGGGGGCGGGGCATGGGCTGGAGCAGTTGGTCAGGGGGCGGGGCGTGGAGATGTGGGCGGGGCATGGGCTGGAGCAGGTGGTCAGGGGGCGGGGCGTGGAGATGTGGGCGGGGCATGGGCTGGAGCAGGTGATCAGGGGGCGGGGCGTGGAGATGTGGGTGGGGCACTGTGGCTGGGGGCGGGGCATGGGCTGGAGCAGGTGGTCAGGGGGCGGGGCGTGGAGATGTGGGCGGGGCATGGGCTGGAGCAGGTGGTCAGGGGCGGGGCGTGGAGATGTGGGCGGAGCGCTGTGGCTGGGGGCGGGGCATGGGCTGGAGCAGGTGGTCAGGGGGCGGGGCGTGGAGATGTGGGCGGGGCACTGTGGCTGGGGGCGGGGCCAGCCTGCTGGGGGCAGGGTGAGGAGATGGGCCTGCCTGGTAGCCCCTGCGGGCAAGAGGCTGGTTCCCCCATGTGCCGGCCAGCAGGGTGACTGTGAGTGACCTGCCTGGGGGTCTCTGCTGCCCAGCGTGGCAGTGGCCGGGACCACGCTGTGCCTGGGACAGTCAGACAGGCCCCATGGGGCTGCAGGCTGGATGTGGTGACCCTTCCAGCCCCTCCTCTACCGGTTCATTCTCCAGAGGACACCAGCTCCCGGGGGGCGGGTGTGTATACTGGGGTGTGCGGGCCATGAGCCGTTTCCTATTTCACCCCGAAGCTGCGGCCCAGGGCTCAGTCCCCCAAGACAGGGAAGCCCGAGTTCAGGCTGCCACCTGCTCTGTCCAGGGAGCTGGAGGCAGGAGGCCAGCACCCCGCCCCCTCGACCACCCGCACACCCCTCACAAGGCTCAGGAACCCGAGGGAGGAGCCAGGCTGCAAGGGGCAGGGCGGGGATGGGCTCAGGTGACACAGGGGAGGGAAGGGGCAGGGTGGGCCCCTCCATGCCTTTCTCCATCAGGACGAGCTCTCTCTGAACCTGGGTTGGGGCACCCTCAGGAAGCCCGAGGGTGACCCCTCCGGCCCCACAAATCCCAGTGGGGGCGAAGGGTGGCCATGACTCCTGCGGTTAGAGGAGAGACTGGGCCCAGCCACTGGGCTGAGCAGGCTTCAGACTCACCCAGCCCGAGCCAGGCCTCCAGGCGAAAGCACAGGACCCCACAGCTGGGCGGTGCCGAACAAGCCCCGGCGAGACTTCGGGGTGCCGGGAGAGCAAATGGGCAGCTTGGGGACCACTGGCCCAGGCTGGCCGTGCACGCCAGAGCCCCGAGTTCAGCCTGCAGGGTCCGCAGAGCACCCGTGGGGCACTGAGCTGGGAGCAGCTGCCCTCTGAGCCCTGCGTGCACTGGGTGCGGCCCCACCGCAGGCTGAGTCCTGGCCTGGCCGTCTGGGGGTCGTGACACCCGTGTGGGCCCCCCATCCCCAGGGGGCCCAGCGTGGAGACGCCCCCATCCCCGCAGCCCGCGGGGCCCCACTCACTGTTCTTGTTGTTGAAGACGGACACAGACAGCGCGTGCTCCACGTCCCTCAACTGGATCTCCTCCCGCCGCCTCCCGGCCCGCCAGAAATCCAGAGCCACGTCCGTGATCCTCTCGGCACCAGCATTGCTGCGAGGGCAAGTCCGCTGCGTGAGGACAGGCTGGACGGGGCGGATGGGCTCCCCGCGCGCGGGGGGTGAGGGCGGGGCGGATGATCCCACCAGCCGGTGCGCCTCACCTGAGGAAGATGAAGATGGCCTTCCGGTAGGACACGCCGTCCACCAGCTCATAGTAGTCCAGGAAGGGTTTGATGGCGTCAATGAGGCCCGCGTGCATCTTGTCCATCTCGTCAAAGATGAAGATGGACCTGGCGCATGCGCTCACGTTGCCGCGGACCCACGACTGTAACTGGTCCTGCGGGTGCGGGGGAGGGGCCAGGCTCAGTCAGCGCCCCGGCAACCCCCAGGCCTTGGCACCCACCCGGGCTGCGTGCCCACCACACCGTGCACTGGGCTTCTTCATGACAGAGGGCAGCACTCAGGCGTGGGGCTTAGTGACCCCAATGATGCAAAAGCCCGTGTGAGCAGAGCGGGGGTTGGAGCACCCCATCCCACTGATCCCTGAGCCCCACATTGTCCGAGCCAGGGCTGGAGCGCCCCAGCCCCCGTGGGACTCCCAAGCTCCACACTGTCTGCGTTGGGACTGGTCACCTGGAGGCCGTGACATGGAGCCACCAGCCTTCATCATAAAAATGGACCTTTCTGGGCCCGAGCGATAGCACAGCGGGTAGCATGCAGCTGACCTGAATTCGCTCCTAGGCATCCCATATGGTCCCCCAAGCCCCGCCAGGAGTAATTCCTGAGTTCAGAGCCAGGAGCAACCTCTGAGCATGCTGGGTGTGACCCAAGAAAGTAAAAAGACAACAACAACAACAAACAAACAAACAAACAAAAAAACCATCCAAAAATGTCCCTTCTCTGGACGAAGAACTTCCTGGAGGAAGCTGGCCGTCCAGCCCCTGGAGTGCAGAGGTGCAAGACCCCGAGAGGAAGGGGCACAGGCCCCTGTGCCACTGGAGAGCTGGGAATTGAATTCCAGCATAGATGGTCCACGAATCATGTTCGGGCCCCCCCGGAACACTAAGCAACCACAGAGCAGAAAGCCAGTCGGGGGAGGCAGTGGCTTTGCATGTGACGACCCCACTCAATCTCTAGCCCTCCACACGCTCCCCGGAGCTGTACCAGGCATCACTCAAAACTCAAAAGGTTCTCTGAGTCCTGGGCACGAGTGACTTGACCTGGGCAGTCGACAGACTTGACTCACCAAGGGGGCCGCTGGGAGAACCACGAAGCCAATCTCAGTAAAACCTGGGCCCTGAGCCCCGGGGTCTGCACTCTGTTCCCCATCCCCACCCCCAACTGCTCCCAGACCTATGACAGGGGCACATGGAGGCCCAGAGTGACCAGGGAGGTGCAAGAGGTCACTCAGCAGTGGGGCCTGAAGGCTGACCGGTTGGACCAGCTCATCAGGGTCTGTTCCCAGCCTGGCAGCTGAAACACCCCCTCCCCCATCCAACCCCCCAGTCCTGTGCCCTTTCGGCCACGAAGGGTGAGCCCTGCACCGGGGGACAGGACCACAAGAGCCAACGGCTTATTCCTGTTTTCCCAGCGTGAAGACACTGCCCCCTGGTGGTGGGAAGGGGTACGGCCTTCTGGACCGGTGAATGAGTTTGGGGGTGTGTCAGCCAACAGTGCACTGGGGGTGTGTCAGCCAACAGTCTCTCCTGGTGCATCTCTAGGGACCTGCAGTGGTGGGGTTCAAGCTAAGGTCGGCTGCCCAAGCCAAGTGCCGTAACCCCTACGTTACTGTTCCATTTCCCTTCTCTGGCTTCGGGCCACACCTGAAGTTGTTTGGGGCGCGGGGTGGTGAGCTAGGACCCGGCTACCAGCCATACTCAAGGCAGGAGCCCTTTGCTCACTTACAGGCTTCCCGGAGGCAGCAACCAGGGGATTTTTCTGCCAAAGAGGGGAGCAGGTCTGACCCGTTTAGAGTCTGGGCTCTACCTGAACCCGGGCAAAGCACCTGCCAGGTGCTTGAACTCTCGAGCTACTCTTTTACAGGTGAAGAAGACCAGCCGGCTCATCTGCTCCGGGGCTGCCACCAATTAAAAGGCCATCAGCTGCGGGCCTGGCGCCATGGCAAAGCCTTGCTGACTTAGGTTCAATCCTCGCACCCCATATGGGCCTCCACACACCGTCAGAGCCAGGAGTAAGCCCGGAGCATGGCCAGACCAGGTGTGGGCCCCACAAAAAACAACAAGAAAGCAAAAAGGCTCTCAGCAGTGCCTGCAGGCGGGTCAGGGCACCACGCAGGCGAAACTTCAGTTTAATATGGGGTGGGAGAAAAGGCACAGCGGGTACGTGGGTTCCATGCCCTACAGTCACCTGAGCACAGAGCCAGGAGTTAAGCCCTGACTCAGCACTGCCCGGAAGTCCAAGCAACCCCCACCCACCCCAACTACAGTTCCACACACCCCTCTTGGACAAATGACTCAGGGAACCCCGCTCTGTCCCTTCCCAGGGGTGAGCCCCGAGGAGGACCTCCTTCATCTGCAGGTGGCATGTCCCGCCCCCACCCCCGCAGACCCCCACCCCAACCCCCACCCCCGGTGATGGGGAAGCCCCGTGGGCCACGAGAGCGCCCCCCCACCCCCGTTCCGCACTTGCCTTATACAGGGTGAGGTTGGAGGCGTGGGGGAAGTGCAGCGTGGCCACGAACAGGTGGACATAGTCGCTGTTGAGGCCCCCCTCGTAGATGTTCTCGGCGATGATCTTGCTGACGAAGTTCTTGCCCGTGCCGGTCCACCCGTGCAGCGAGAGCGTGAGCGGTTTCCGGGGCTTGGGGTTGCTGATGAAGCCCGACACCGCGTTCAGGATGACCTTCTGGGCCAGGTGCTGTCCGAAGAGCTTGCTGTCCAGATCCTTCTGCAGCGCTGGGCAGAGCGGGGAGCGGGGAGCCGGTCAGGGCTGCGGGGGGTGGGGGGGGGCGCGGCCAACGTCTGCAGGCTGGCGTGCACGCGGGGCGGGGGGCGCCGGGCTCGGGGCGCGGGGCCTGCGGGGCGTGCACCCTCGCCGGATCGCGAGGGGGTTAGGGGCAGGGGCAGGGGCGGGGGCAGGGACGGGCCGCCGCCGGGCAGCCTGGGCACGCCCCCGGGAGCCACCGCCGGGCGGAGCGGCGCGTCCCGGTGCCGGCGGCCCGCGCCCCGGCCGAAGTCCGCGCCCGGAGCCCGGCGGCCACCCCCCCCCCTCCCCGGAGCCCTCGGAACCCTCCGGCCCCGCTGCCCGGGCCGCCGCGCCTCCCGCCGGCCCCGCCCCGCCCCCCGCGCGCCCCCCGCGCGGCCCCCGCCCCACCTTCCCGGCTCAGGCTCCGCTTCTGGCTGCAGCACTCGGCGAAGAGGCAGTAGAGGCGCGGGTAGGAGATGTAGCCGGTGAGGACGCCGGCCAGCGCCAGGCCCAGGCTGATGGGCTCCACCGCCCGCACCGCGCCCGGCGCCAGCAGCAGCACCAGCAGCAGCAGCAGGGCCAGCGCGGCCCGGCCCAGCTTCATGCCCGGACGGACCCGCGCCGCCCCGCGCGCTCTCGCGTTGACAGCCGGCCCGCGCGCGACGGCCCCGCGCGCTTCCGGTGCCTTCCGGCGCCGCCGCCACCTTGGTAGGGGCAAGCGCCGGCGGCCGCCATCTTGGTAAGGGCAGGTGGCGCCGCGCCCCCTGACGTCACACCGCTCGGATTTCCGTCCCCTCCCCCCCCACGCCCCGCTCCCCGACCGTGTGTCTACAGGGAAATCGGGGGCCCAAGGAAGATTTATTCATTGCAATGATGGTGTGAGGAAGATGTTGATCATTTGAAAAAAAAAAATGTTGAGACAGTTTCTCGCATTGATTTCTCGCAATGGATTTTCCCCTCGAATGATTCAGAAATATTTTTCGGAACTACAACCCCATGTGTCCTAACCACAAACCCCATGTACTAGCGCATCACTCCCGAGTTTACATTTGTTTAAATGTAAAGTAACTTTGTAGTGTAACATTACATGCTGAAGATCGTGCAAACCCTCGGCTCAGTTCACCACTGGCACGCCTACTTGTCACCCTGATTGCTCCCGATGTCCCGATTTACTTAGGTCTCCTCGCTCTGGCAACCACTAAATGGTCTCATTGCCTGTGTATTTATTTAATTTTGGGGCCACACCTATTGATTTCTAGGGCTTACTCCTGGCTCTGCACTCAGGAACTACTCATGGCAATGCTTGGGGGACCATATGGGATGCCAGGGTTGGAACCCGGGTCAGCTGCGGTAAGGTAAACTATACTATCATTCCCGCCCACCGTACTTTCACTTGCCCCCCCCCCCCAACATTTTTATTCAGCTCCTTGAACAGTTTTAAAGGAATGCAGTCCTCGCTGGCTCCCGGTATACTAAGCTGTAGCACTGTAGCACTGTCCTCCCATTGTTCATCGATTTGCTCAAGCGGGACCAGTAATGTTTCCATTGTGAGACTTCTTGTTACTGTGCTTGGCATATCGAATACGTGAGGGGGAGCTTGCCAGGCTTTGCTGTGCAGGCAAGATACTCTCAGTAGCTTGCCCGACTGAGAGGGGAGGAGAAACGAACTTGGGTTGGCTATGTCGGCCGCGTGCAAGGCAAACGTTCCACCACTGTGCTATCACTCCGGCCCAATATACTAAGCTAGCTGCTACATTTGCTCAGTGAATGAGCCTGCAGGTGCGTTAGTACCATCAATCGTAGGTGCCTTAGCGCTCCTGTTCACATCATGTCCCTTTTCTGAAGCGTGGGCTGCAGATTTCTCCCTTGCTCGGTATGTGGGACAGCTGTGGTAACATCTTTTGCAAGATGCCCTATGACTGATTGTCCCTCTGGATTGGGGTAGGTGAGCGGTGACAGTGCTCTTTGTGGGGAGGTGTTTGGGTCACCCCTCTGGTGCCCAGGGATCGCTTCTGGCGGTGCTCTGGGGACTGATGTGGCAGCAGGGATGGAACTGAGGTTGGTCGTGTGTAAGGCAAACACCTACCCTCTGCACTGTCATCTCTGGCCATAAGGGGTCACTCCTAGCTCTGCACTCAGGGGTCACTCAGCATGGGGCTCGGGGGACCAAATGTGGCACCCAGGGACAAGCCTGGGTGGACCACGTGCAAGGTAAACACATTCCCTACCAAAACACATGCTGTCAACAGGGCAAACTCTTGCTGTCTAGCCTTGGTCGCTCGTCACCAACATAGCGAGCGGAAGCTGTGTATGTCAGTTCTCTCTGCTGTAGCCCCCCCACACTGAGGGGGAAACTGAGGCACGTGACTCCCCACCCCCCGCCTTCACTAACCAGCCTGGAGAGGGTTCACTCCCCCCCAGTTTGTCCAAGGCTGGGAAGAGGGAGGGACCAGGACCCAGGTACCGCGGCTCCGTCAGCCAACGCTTTTGGTCCTGACCCGGGTGACTTTCGTGCCTCTGGACAAACAGCAGCGTCGTTGACCCCCACATCCACCGCGAGCCTACTGGGCCGTGTCTCTGACCCTTCTCTGGGGATTTGCAAAAAGCCACGGCCGTGACATGAGAAAGCCAGTCCCACCTGAAGGACGCGTGCGGGCCGGACAGACGGCGGGACCTGCTTCTGTACAAATCATTTAGTGACACCTCAAGAATAGGCTCTGGCCCCGTAGGAAAACTACAGTCTTATCTGCAAAGGTTACAGACCCGATGACCGAGAAGCCCAGCTGCCCAGCAGGTGGCCGCAATGGCCGGGCCTTGGGGATGGCTGGCCCGGGCTCCTGCCCTGGGCAATGTCCACCATGGGGGCAGGGACGGCGGCCGCCCTGACCTCCCCTCCGGCCCGCGCCCCTGGAGTGTCGGTCAGTAGCGCCTGTTCATCTTCTTGAACTTCTCGTAGTGATAGTCGTCCGTGGCCTTCTCGTTGGCAGGCCGCTTGCGGTTCGGGGGGGACCCTGTGGGGGAGATAATGGAGGGTAGGTGCCAGCTGCCAAGGGGAGGCTGAGCTCAGTGCAGGGAGCCCGGGGCCCAGGATGGTCAGCACTGCAGACAGCACAGACCTGGCTGTGCCCAAGTTTGGCCCCGTGCCCTGGCCTTTAGTCCTCCCAGCCACCCCCAAGGCCCTGCGGCTTCTCTGCTCAGGGGCTGGTGGATGCTTGAGATCCTGAGGTTTATTTATTATTATTCATGGCTTTTTTGAGGGGGCCACATCTGGTGGTGCTAAGGGCTGACTCCTGGCTATGCACTCAGGGATCAATCCTGGCAGTGCTCGAAAGATCATTACGGGGTGCTGGGGATCAAATTCTGGTCAACTGCTTGCCAGGTGAATACCCTCCCTGCTGTACTGTCTCTCTGTCTCTGTGTTTTGATTCATTTTCGGGCACCCAGCATTGCAAGTTACTCCTGGCTCTGCACTCAGGAATCACTCAGTGGTGCTCGGGACCCCTATGGGATCTGAGGACAGAACCTGGGTCAGCTACATTCAAATCAAACACCCTCCCCGCTGTACTAGCGCATCCTCTCTCTGTTTTTAATTTATTTTGTTTTTGGGTCACCACTGGCGATGTTCAGGAGTTACTCCTGGCTCTGTGCTCAGGACTCACTCCTGGCGGTGCTCAGGGGACCATATGGGATGCTGGGGATCGAACCTGCATCAGCCGCATGCAAGGCAAACGCCCTCCCCATTGTGCTATCGCTCCAGCCCGTTTTTTAAATTTCTGACCCACACTCTGGGTTCCCTCCAGCCTCTGTGCTCAGGGATCACTCCTGGGGGCCTATGCGGTGCTACGGATCCAATGGGGGTCGGCCACAGTCAAGGCCGGTGCCTACCTGCTGCTCTCTCTCTCCTGGCCCCCAGCCCAGCCCGAGCCTGGCAGTGTCTGGGGACACTGAGGATCACATAATGCCACCTCCCACCTCCAGCACTGCTTGTGAGGTCCAATGACAAATAGCACTGTACTGTAGCACTGTCCTCCCGTTGTTCATCGATTTGCTCGAGCAGGCACCAGTAACGTCTCACAACAAATTGTGAGACTTGTTGTTACTGTTTTTGGCATATCGAATATGACACGGGGAGCTTGCCAGGCTTTGCCATGCGGGCGGGATACTCTTGGTAGCTTGCCGGGGTCTCTGAGAGGGGTGGAGGAATCGCACCACCCTACCCGCTGTGCTATTGCTCCAGCCCAAGGACAAATAAACATAAGCAAATAATGACAGAGGTCTGGGTGGCTACAGAAAAAGACGGTCACAGGGGCAGCCCGGGGTGAATGCCTGAATAACTCGCCCCTCCGCACAGGCCCACAGGCAGGGGTGAGGAGCCTGTGGCTGGCTGGGGCCCAGCGCATGCACAGAGTCTGCCCCCCACCCCACCCCCCCAATCCACTCACGCTCTGGCTCTGGCCGCTCCGTGTCGCCCACCCTCAAGGGCCGAGCCTTGGGTTCCTCCTTGTTCCTCCGGATGGGGGCGTTGAGCTCCTCATGATAAACTGGACCCCAAAACAGAGAGGGGGGGTGTGAGGGGACGGGGTGCAGGGGTGGGAGGGGACAGGGTAGAGGGGTAAGAGGGGATGAGGGCGGGAAGGGGTGTGCAGGGGCGGGAGGTGGTAGGGTGCGGAGGCAGGTGGTATGTGTGTGCAGGGGTGGGGTGGGACGGGGCGCAGGGATGGGGCGGGGAGCTCACATCGGTTATGCTGCACGTAGTTCACGGCCATGTTGGTGGGCACGAAGGACGTCTCGCTGTCCTTCTTCTTGTTCTGCTGCTCGGCCAGCAGCCGCGCCTTGGCGTCTTCCGTGGAAATGATGTTCTTGATCTTGGCGCTGTGAGGGAGAAGGTGCGCATCGTGGGTGGCCAGACTCGGTCCCTTGAGGTGCGGCCCTGAGACCCCTCCCAGGGAGATGGCCAAGGGACACCCCCCCCAGCTGGCAAGGGCGGGGTCAACCCAGGGGCAAGGAAGCCCTAGGTTCTCCTGTAACAACACTGGGAGTCAAACCTGGCGATGCTCAGGGGTGACTCCTGGCTCTGTGCTCAGGAATCACTCCTGGAGGGGCTTGGGAGACCCCGTCGGGTGCCAGAGTTATCCCCGTGGGGCCCACAGGGCTACCCCCAGCAGGACTGCAGGGGCAGATGGGACCCTCAAAGCTCTCCTCGGAGCCTCAGACCCAGCCCTCCGCCAAACCCCGGGGGACCCTCGGAGGAGCGCGGGACCCGAACGCCAGAGCTGGCGGGACGTACTCGATGCCCAGGTCCACCTCGGGGATGCCGCTGAGCATCTGGTTGGACAGCATCTCCTCCGTCTTCTTGGCTGAGGCCACGCGGATGTTCTCCGGCAGCTCGTACAGACAGTCCTCGGCGTTGCGTGGCTTCACCTTCTGCTCCTCCTGCTCCACGACCCCCTTCCTCCTCTTCAGCTCCGTCTCGATGTACTTCATCCTGCAAGGGGACACGCGCCAGGGTCACCGGGACACGTCCCAGACCCAGAAGAAAAGGGAAACAGAAAAGGAACTTGGGAGGTTTCTTTGTTTGCCCTCAAGCTGATGGTTTTTCTATGCAAAGCACCAACTTTGATTATTAGGTCCGACCAAGCCTTCTGGAAGGTTTGCCGAAGATGGCCCTAACGGAAGCTCGTATGTGTTTGGTCAACATGCCTGTTGGCGAAATAAAAGTAGACAAGCTCTCCGCCCAACCCTGTAAAATTGGGGGGAACTATTACCCTGCCAGGACTCTGAAAGGCCCCAGAACCCCCCCATTTGAAAGAGCTTAAAGGAGTTTGAAGTTTCCAGCCTTGAGGGTGCAGCGGCAGTGGCCGACACCTCTCTCTGGCTAATTCTACCAACAGCCCGGTGCTGGGTAGGCGGGTGTGGCGCTGTCCCTCCCCTGGCACCTACATGTCCGCGTCCTCGTCCCGGCGGTTGGTCTCCGCGGAGAACGACGTCCCGAGGTGCAGGTCTTCCTCTTCACTGATCCTACGGGGACAGTCCCGGCTCAGCAGGCGCAGGGCCGTGCTCACCAACATAGCGAGAATATCACGAGGGGCCCAAGGACCGAGACGAGATGAGGCCACCTGCCCGCACGCTGATCTGGGTTCAATCTCTGCCCACACCATCCCTGGCACCGCTGAGGGTCCCGGGAGCCCCGCGGGAGGGTCAGTCCCAAGTACAGAGCCAGGAGCTGACCCTGAGCGCCTCAGGGTGTGGCCCGGTCCTTCCAGCCCCCCAGTCCGAGGTGACCAGAGGTGGGAAAACACAGCTAGGTCAGGAGGAGCTGAAACCAGAAACAGGGGGAAAAAAGATACTGGGACTGGACAGCGGGGAGGGTGCCTGGCCACTCACAGCCGACTCGGGTTCAGTCCCCAGCACCCCACGTGGAGCCATCGCCAGGCGAGCTGGCCAGGAACGATCCCCGAGTGCAGAGGAGGAAGCCCTGAGCACTGCCGGAGTGGTGCAAAAACAGAAAAAAAGAGCTTTTCTTCTTTCTGGATGCCCAGACTTGCCTTGATTCCCACCAACCCAGTTCGATCCCCTGCACCACATGCAGGTTGCTAGGAGTGACCCCTGAGCATCACTGGGTGGGGCCCCCAAAACACATTTTGTGTGTGTGTGTGTGTGTGTGTGTATGTATATAAATTTAAATATACATATATTTAAATTTAGGGAAACAGGAAAACAGGAAGGAATATGTGTGTGTGTGTGTGTGTATGTGTGTGTGTGTGTACGTATATGTGTATGTGTGTGTATTACTGCAGATCGATCTCAGGGCCCTGACCACACAACTGTCTGTGCTCAGCAGTGTCGTCATGCTCTGGCTGGCCCATTGTCTTTTGTTACTGCTTTTTGCATCCCTCCTCCCCCGCCTCAGTGGTACTCAGGGCTTCCTCCTGGCTCTGCTGGAACTGGGGTTGGCGCTGCTGGACTCTCTCTGGTCCCTGTTTTTTTTTTTTTCTTTTTGGGTCACACCAGCGATGTTCAGGGGTGACTCCTGCTCGCGCTCAGAATTACTCCTGGCAGTGCTCTGGGGACCATAAGGGATGCCGGGGATGGAACCTGGGTAGGCCAGGGTCATAGCAAACGCCCTCCCCGCTGTGCTATCGCTCCAGCACCCCTTTCCATTTTTAACCACGTGGCCTTGTAGCACCCAAAGGAGGAGTCAGAGCAGTCCGCAGGAGCCCAGCTGGGAGCCCACCCTGGGGGGCGCCAAGCACACGCCGGGCTGTGCGCATGAGGGGCGCCCCGCACTCACTTCTCTTTGCTCCTCTCCTTGAGCTTCTTCATGTCCACCATGCCGCCCGTCTTCATCTGGAAGGGGTCGTCCTGCAGAGAGAGCACGGCAGACAGGAAGCACCCCCGCCAGCAGAGGCGGAGTTGTGCTCTGTTTTGTGGGGCAACCGTATGGGGTGCCGAGGCTCAAACCAGGGCCAGCTGCATGCAAGGCAAGGGCCTCACCCACTGTACTGTCTCTCCGGCCCCTACCCTAGAATATATACGTATATGTATATATATATTTTGTTTGGTTTTGGGTCACACCCGGTGATGCACAGGGGTTACTCCTGGCTTTTGCACTCAGAAATCACTCCTGGCGGTGCTCGGGGGACCATATGGGATGCTGCGGATCGAACCCGGGTTGGCCGCGTGCAAGGCAAACGCCCTAACCGCTGTGCTATCACTCCAGCCCCTAGAATATATTTTTTAATTGTTTGTTTTGGGGCTACAACATTTGGTGCTCAGGGCTTCCTCCTGGCTCTGCACTCAGGGATCACTCACTCCTGGTGGTGCTCCAGGGACCAAGTGGGACACGCAAGGCAAGCACCCGTCCTGCTGTACTGCTGCTCTGACACTATTTTTGTTTTCCCAGATTTTCGTTTGCTTTGTCTTGTTTGGGGGCCACACCCAGCAGTGCTCAGGGCTTCCTCCTGCCTCTGCACTCAGGGGTTACTCCTGGTAGTGCTCAGAGGACCGTATGGGATGCCGGAGATTGAACACAGGCAAAGTAAACACCCTGCCCGCTGTACTATCTCTCTGGCCACCTCCCCCTTGTTTCCCTAAAGAAAATGCAACCCCCTCACCACCACTTCTCCCTACACTGCCCAAGGTGGACCCCGCAACTCACCACTAGAGTGGTCTCTTCCTGGACCTTCTCCCCCACGAGCAGGGCCACGGCACTGAGCGAGACCAAGAAAGTGGACGAAGAAAAAGAGAGGAAGTCAGGCGCAGTTCAGGCACGGGAGGAGGAGTCTGGACGTTTGTAGGGCGCGGTGTCATTACAAGGGTCAGAGCTGAGGCTGGGCCCTCCGAGGCCAGCTGAAAAGATCCTGAAGAATGAACCGGGCCGTGGGAGCCCAGCCACGGGGAAGACACCTGCTGTGCACACTGCTCCCCTGGGCCGGATCTTGGGGGAGCCCTGGATGATCCCCACCAGGAATGCCAGAGGAGGAGGATGCAAGTGCGCACCAGCAGGAAGCCATGAGCACCGTAGGGTGTGAACCCACAGCCAAAATAAAGAAATCACAAAGCAACTTCAATACTGTTTCAGGCTATGATGTTTCTACACACACACACACACACACACACACACACACACACACACACTCACACACTGAAAGACCTGAGAGGTGTACACACACACACACACACACACACACACACAGAAGGGCCTGCGAGGTGGGCACTCGCTTTCCACACTGCTAATCAGGATTTTTGATACCCAGAGTCCTCCAGCACAGCTGGGAGTGATTCCAACAACTTTGTAACTGCATATTTCAAGGTGATACAACAACAACAAAGGGAGGGGGGGTGGTGGTAATTCCCAGTGCAGAGCCAGGGGTAAGCCATGAGCACAGCTGTGACCCAGAAACAGAAACAAAAACAAAGAAACAAAACAAAACAAAAACAAAACAAAACAGCAAAGACCTACTAGCAGCTGAAACATTATGCTGCACCCATTAAAAACGTTTGGGAACATAATCCATGTCTTAATGAATTGAAACAGCATAGAAGAGGGGCTCAAGGAACAGTATAGGAGTGAGGCCTGGCACACAGCCGCCCTGGGTCTGGTATGGGTACTACATACTACAAAGTGATCACCCTAAGCTCTGCCAGGGGTGATCACTGCGTGAAGAGACAGGAATAAGCCCCGTGTATAGCCCAAAAGCCAAAACCAAAAGCAAAGCCAAAGGAAACAAAACAAAAAACCCTCAAACAGAAACCAGAACAGTAACACACGTGGAAGGCGTTTGCCTAACACGGGGCTAACCTGGACTCAACCCCTGGCACCTCGGATGGTCCCGAGCCCGCCAGGCATGATCTGGGAGTGCAGAGCCAGGAGACAGCCCTGAGCACCGGCAGGGTATGGCCCAACCCGTGCCCCCAGCAAACACCCAACCCCCCAAACAAAAACCAAAAGAAGCCAACAAAATAGCATAGAATAAAAGCAAAACTGCCTTTTCATCTCTGCAGAAGACAAACAGGTTGGGGGAAACGTCAGAGCCAGAACGCTCCCCCAGGATGTGCGTCATTCTCTCTCTCAGACCCCGGAGCAGGACAGTCTGACGCTGTCACTGCAATCACTGCTTCCTTCGCTTGTCTGGGGCCACACCTGGCAGGGCGGGGCAAACACCCTCCCCTGCACTGTGCCAGCCGCCTCCCCCTCTCTCGGCCCTGCCAGGTGGTTATCAATGGAGCCTACAGTTTTCCTGCTCTGACATTTCAGAATAAAGCCCAGCCCATGAGCGTGCATTTCATTCTACTCATTTCATCCTGGGCAATCTGGACAGGAATTTCTGATTCCTGTACTTCTTACGGAGTGAACCGTAAGACCACCTGGCTTGGGCTGGAGCAATAGTACAGCAGGTTGGGCATTTTTCTTGCACGTGGCTGACACGCGTTCGATCCCGGCATCCCATATGGTCCCCTGAGCCCCACCAGGAGCAATTCCTGAGTGCAGTGCCAGGAGTAACCCCTGCTCAGGGTGTGACTCAAAAAGAAAAGGAAAAAAAAAAAAAGACCACCCAGCTCAAGGACTGTCCTGTTTAAATACCTGCAAAAAATGGGGTCTCCCTCTCCAGGCAGTGCCAAGTACCCAGCATGTCAGAGAAAAGGGGTTTGCGGGGACTGGAGCGATAGAACAGCGGGAAGGGCACTTTACTTGCATGTGGCCAGACCGAGTTCAATACCCGACACCTCATTTGGTCATTGGAGCACTGCTAGGAGTGATCACCGAGGGCAGAGCCAAGTGTGGCCCCAACCCCCCACTACACACACACACACACACACACACACACATTCACACACGAGGGTCTTGTGAGGAGTCATGAGGACAGCAACCTGGGCAGGGCTCTGTCCTTGATGTCCTGAGTCCTCCTGGACATCCTTTTTGTACCCCCCCCACCCCCGCCATGGTACCCACCTCACCCCATTGGGTCTCCTCCTCAAATTCTGCACCTCTCGGGTTTCTTCCAGTTTTAATCTGAAAATCAATAAATAATTGTGAGCCACGCACACGCAGGTCAAGGGCCCCTTCTGCTGAAGACTCCACGGGCCCCGCTGCCTCCCTTTGCTGCGGGGCCGCTGGCACCGTAGGCCAGAGAGCGAGCCGGTGCCCAGCCCCCTCCCGGGAACCAGATCCACTGTGCACACGAGAGCACCCTGCCAGCCAGGGAGGTAGTTCCATGGCACAGCACAAGCTTCACACCCACGAGGCCAAGGTCTGCTACCTGGAACTGCGGACATCAGAAAGAAAAATCAACACAAATCCAGCGCACCTCTCCCAACTTGGCTGCCTGAAGAACAAACTCATCGCCAGAGACCTCAATTTCTTTTTTCACACAAGGGTGCAACGCCCCCCACACACACACACAGGGCACTATGAGGTCTATGGGGCACCTGGACCCCTGTTTTAGGGCCACTCCTGGCAATGTGCTCAGGGATCACTACAGGGGGGGAGGGGGTGGCGGGGGGGGGCGAAGGGGGGAGTTGGGAAATCAACCCTTTAGATTGCCAGGGATCGAACTAGAGTTGGCCACATTTAGGACAAGCCTCTCTGCTCTGTGTTCTATCTCTCCGGCTTCATGTTCTGAATTATTTCTGATCTACCTGCTGGAAGCTTGTTTTATTTTTTTTTAATTAGTTTTTTTTTTTGGTCACACCCGGCAATGCACAGGGGTTACTCCTGGCTCATGCACTCGGGAATTACTCCTGGCAGTACTCGGGGGACCATGTGGAATGCTGGGAATCGAACGCGGGTCGGCCATGTGCAACGCAAACGTCCTACCCACTCTGCGATCACTCCAGTCCCCTGGAAGCTTGTTTTAGATGAAAGTTGTTTATGTCTCTCTCCCCTGTCCTTGCGCCCACAAACGGTCCCCAGAGAATGAAGCACAGAGTCAGAAATAAATTCTGAGCACGGCTGGGTGTGCTCAAACCCAACAAAGTTGTTTGTGGTTTGTACATAACATGTTGGGATAAAATTATTCAAAAGTTGGCTGGTAAGCCTGATCACCCCACAGGTGCCCAATCACACCCCGAGGACTTATCAGGGTCACACACTCGCTGACACCTCAGTAGCGGCTGCTGTGCCCATCCTGTGAACGCTCAAACGACAGCCTCAAGGTTTACTGGGTGTCTGGGGAAAACGCTGGCTGCTGAGTCAAACTGCTGCTCCAAAGTTACCTGGAGACACCGACTCCTGGGGTCAGATGGTGCCAAGCCACTTGGCAGTTTCCAGAGAACAAGGGACATCTCCCCCCGCCTTGCCTCGGCTCAAGGGTGAAGCAATCCCCTTAACAACTCCCAGAGCGGCCCATCTGCCTGCCAACGCTTCCGGGTGGCGATTCCACAGATCCAGATCCCACAGATCTGCACGCTGCATGGGGAGCAAGCAGGTAAGCACCCCACTCCCCTGCTTCCCAAGAAGCCAGCCCTTCTAAGGTAAATTCACAACTGAATCTGAACTTTTTTATTTTTCTTTTTGGGTCACACCCAGCGATGCTCAGGGGTTACTCCTGGCTCTGCACTCAGGAATTACTCCTGGCGGTGTTTGGGGGACCATATGGGAGGCCAGGGATTGAACCAGGGTCGCATGCGTGTAAAGCAAACGCCCTAATCGCCTGTACTATTGCTCTGGTCCCTGAATTTGAACTTTCAGGTTTGGTTTTGTTTTTCAAATTTTTGCTTTGGGGCCACATGGGAGATGCTGAGGGAGGGTGCGGAGACGACAAGACCTCGGGGTGCTGGGGATTGAACCGGGACCCACTGCAACCGAGGCAGGTGCCTTAATCGCCCGTACTTACATCTTCCCTCTGGGAGGGGGTGGGCGTGTACATGACCCATCATTGGTTTGGTACCCGAGAGCGTAGCTGACCCATCACTGGTTTGGGCTGCAAAGTTTCCAGATTGACTTGAGGGCACGGGGCACCGGTCATGCACGCGCGCGCCTTGCACCAGGGACCGATCCCGGGCACCCCCTACGATGCCCCGAGCCTGGCCGGGACCCCGAGCGCAGAGCCAGGAGGGAAGTCCCAAACACAAGCCGGAGGGGGCGCCCCAAACCCAAAGCCAAAGCCAAAGCCCTCGGAAAGCCACGGTCCGCCGGCGGCACCGAGCGCCGCCGCCCCCTGAAACAATCGCCACGACGGCTCTCGGGCAGGCAGCAACGTCCATGCCGGAAACAGCCCGAGCCCGGCCAGTCCCCACGGCAGCCCCGCGCCGGACTCACCGGACCTCCTCTGAGTCCTGCTCGTCCTCCTCCGACTCCGAGTCGGCCCGCCGGCGGCGGAAACTCTTCCCGATGACCGGCATGTCGGCGGCGCCGGCCCCAGCGCTCCGGCCGCCGAGCGCCGCTGCTTCCGGCGCGCGGCGATGACCTCAGCGCACTAACCACGCCCCCAAGACGGCCCCGCCCCCGAGCTCGCTACGCCCCCGGGTCCAGCTCGCTCGCCACGCCTCCACCGTGACGTCGTGCCTCCCGATTGGGCGACCTGCGCGAAGGAGGAGGGGCGCTGCCGGCCAGGCCCCCGGACCCAGCGCGGCGCTACCGAGAACGCGCTTGACTGACAGGCGGCGGCGGCGGCGCGGTGGCGACGGCAGGTGAGTTTCGGGCAGCCTCCGGCTGCTGCTTCAGGGGGCCGGGCCCGAGGGACCGCCCGCCAGCCCCCCGCCCCGCTCGCTCGGGCCCGCGCCGACCCGGCCCCGCCGGGAGCCCCGCGTCCAGCCTCCCGGGCGCTCGTTGCGCCTCCGGAGCGAGCAGCCCCCGCCGCTGTCCCGGGGCCCCCGGCCTGTCCGCGTGCGGCGTCTCGGGGCGCCGGGCCCTGACGTGCGTGCCCGGGGATGAAGAGGAGGCACCGATCCGGGGACGGGGGGTGGCGGGGGTCCCTCTGGTTTGTTTCCTGTAGCCTCCCCAATGCCCCCCCCCCCGGTCGCTGCACACCCCCCGCCGGGAGTAGGTGAGAATTTGCAGCCGCTTGGGCCGTCACTGAACACCGGGGACTGTTAGGGTGCCCCGGAACCTGCCTGCCGTTCTCCTGGACTCCGTCTGCCCTGGCAAGAACCGGCTCCCCGCCGAGCCGGCCCAGGTGGCAGAGGCCCGGGGCCAAGCACGATCTGGTTGAACTGGGCGTTCGGTGCCAGGGGAGTAGATGTCAGTGGCTTGTCACAGAGCCAAGGAGGATGCCGAGGCTCCGGAGGGAGATGCAGAGCCCGAGGGCCAGCGAGGAACCTGCCTGACCGCCAGCCTGCGGCTCCCTGGCTGGGGAGGGAGGAAACGGGGCTTGGATCCTGCTGCTGGAAAGGCTTTTCCCTCGTGGGGCAGCCTCGCTGGAAAACCGTCCTCTCTCTGGAAAGTTCTCCAGGGAGATGCTTGTTCTCCGCCTCCCGCTGGGCGAATGGGAGTCAAGACTTCCTGTAAAGGCCTTGGGCAGAGGCTCAGTGGCCTGAGGTCTTGCCCGCTGCAGTGGAGTACGGGGTCATTGCTGTCCTGATTGTCTTAGTGATACTCACGGGGTACCCCTGGCTCAGTGCTGGGGGGTCACTCCCATTGGTGCTCGGCGGAGCCATTGCCATGCTGGGAATGTGGCCCTTGCTGGCACCTCTGAGCCATCTCTCCGTGCCCCTTGGCTCTCTGGTTTCCATGCACGGCATCCCTGGCCTGGGTTTCTGCTGGTGGTCCAGGGGCTCTCTGGGGAGCTGCTGTGGACGTGCTGGAGACTCTGCCCGCAGCTGCCTTGGGGCTTGCCCCTATAGGAGTGCCGGAAGGTACTGACCCTTCTGGATCATCCATAGGCCCAGACGAGGTGTTCCCACAGCCAAGACCAGGCTGCCCGTCACGTTCACCACCCAGGCTGAGGCCGATGGAGCTGAGATGCGTGTAGAAAAGTCAGCTTGCTGGGCGGGTCAGGGATGGGGGTGGGGAACGCGGCTTCTCAGCGCTTCCAGAAAGATGGGGGTTGCCCGACCGGGTTTGGGGTGGGGGATGTTTTTGTTGTTCGTTTGGTTTTGGGTCATGCCGGGTTCCTCCTGGCTCTGCACTCAGGCATCACACCTGGCAGGGCTCAGGTAACCATAGAGGATGCTGAGGATGGAGCCCCGGTTGCCACGTGCCAGGTGAACGCCCTGCCAATGGCTCCCGGGAGAGGGTGGGGATTTCGCTCGCTTCAGGAAGGGCCCCAGGGTTGGCCCAGCTGCGAATGTGGGCAGGTTGGCCTGTTTCCAGGGCTGGTGAGTGGAAGCGACCACGTTGCGTTACGCAGCTGGGAGCTGCCTGGCAGGGTGGGTGGCAGCTGACGGGAGCTTTGGCCTCATGGGGCAGGCGCTGTTCTAGGTGCTGGAAGTGAGCCGATCAGCCCAGAGGGGCAGCGCTGCCAGGGGGGTCTCCCAGGCCCTGGGAAGTGTTGTCAGAAGGGCTGGGTCTGCACAGACAGAAGAGGCACCCACAAACTGGCTGGGGGCCTGGAGGGGGAGGGGGGCAACTGAGGAGGGGGGTTGGGCGGTGACTTGGCAGACCCAAAGTGTGGTCTGTCTGGACGCCAAGTCCTGGGTTCACCAGCTCCCCCCAGTGGCTGGGAACAAGAGTCACCCGCCCCCCCCCCCTCGCCCACTCCCCCCCCTCCGTTCCCACTTACCATTTCCTGGCTGTGCACCCCCAGCGTTGTGGTTTTAGGGTCCTAGCTTGCCTTCTGTTTTTTTTTGGGGGGTCACACCCAGCGATGCACAGGGGTTACTCCTGGTTCATGCACTCAGGAATTACTCCTGGCGGTGCTCAGGGGACCATATGGGATGCTGGGAATCGAACCTGGGTCGGCCACGTGCAAGGCAAATGCCCTCCCCGCTGTGCTATTGCTCCAGCCCTGCCTTCTGTCTTTTTTTTTTAGTTTTTGAGCCATATCTGGTGGTGCTCCTGGCTCTTCACTCAGGAATCACTCCCTGGGGGCTGGGGGGACGCTTTGGGATATGGGGGGGCGGGGGGGTCAAACCCAGGTCAGCCACATGCAAGGGAAGCATCTTCCCCCCTGGACTATTACCCGGGCCCTGCCTTCTGCTGCTGGACGCTCACTCCGAGGTCACCTGGACCCAGGATGCCTGCCCCGGAGTGCTTCCAGCTCGGGGCACATGGGGGCCCAGCGCACAGTGCAGGCCAGCCCTTGCACCTCAGGGGTCTATTTGCGTGGAGTGGAAGGGCTCCGGGAGACTGGGAGACTCTCAGGAGGTGGCCAGGGTGGGGGTTCTCTTCACCTCCTCCCGTCCCCAAGCGCGGCGTGGGCTTGAGGGGAGAGCCTCCCGTGGGTCGCTGGGTGACTGCCGGGATTTTGGGCGATGCAACCGGCTGAACACCTGTTTGAGCCTCTGTGCGCCCCCATTGAAGGATCAGAGTCTGTGGACCGGGGTGGGGGATGGGAGATGGGGGATGGGACCCTGGGGATGGACTCAGAGAAGGGGAGTGGCTGGGGTATAGGAGCCAGAGTTTAGCAGGAGAATGGAGAGAAGTGGGCAGAAAGGAGGGAAAGGGGAGGAGGATTCAGGGAGAGGAAGGGAACATGGAGGGCAAATGGGCAGCAGCGGGGCTGATGTGGGGCCCGTGAGGCGGTGGGAGACTTGGCAGTGATAACTGAGTAATGGGCACCCGCTGCTGGGTCCCCGCCCACTGCTTCATTTCTCTGGCTTGCCTGGGCCCGGGGGCGGGTGGGGGGGCGCGCAGCAGGTCCCCAGGGAGCAGTGCTCCAGGAGCTGTGCCCACCGCTCAACCCCACTGGAGAGGTCCCTGACGCCCCCCCCCCCCCCGAGACGCCTGTGCTCAGGACCCTTCACTCAGCAGAGGAGGGTGTTTTTGTTTTAATTAAAAAATAATTTTGGGGGGGCTGGAGTGATAGCACAGCAGGTAGGGCATTTGCCTTGCACACGGCCGACCCGGGTTCGATTCCCAGCATCCCATATGGTCCCCGGAGCACCGCCAGGAGTAATTCCTGAGTGCAGAACCAGGAGTAACCCCTGAGCATCGCTGGGTGTGACCCAAAAAGCAAGAAAACAAAAGGTTTTTTTTCAAAGTCACACCTAGCAGTGCTCAGGGCTGGCTCCTGGCTCTCTGCATTCAGGGCTCACTCCTGGTGGGCTCAGGGACCTTCTGGGGTGCTGGGGACCAAATCCATGTGCAAGGCAAGTACCCGACCACTGTTCTATCACTCTGGCCCAACTCCTTGAGCATTTTTTTTATCTGGGGGGACCACACCTGGCAGTGCTCAGGGCTTCCTCCTGACTCTGTGCCCAGGGATCTCTCCTGGTGGTGGTGCTTGGGGGGCCCTGTGGGGTGCCAGGGATTGAGCCTGCATGGGCTGCAGTGCCCGCCATGGTGTGCTGTCTCCCCATCCTCCACTTGCCCCCCAGAGCCTCTTTGGGGTGAGGGGTGCCCTGACCATCAAGCCGGAAGTAACCTCCTCCCCCATGCTTCACTGGGTGTGACCCCAAAACGAAACCTCCCAAAGATCCCCCTTCTCTTTTTTGAGGGACGATCAGGAAAGGGGGGTGGGAGTGTCTCCTGGAAAAGAGTCACCCAGACTCAGCGACAGGACTTCCGGGCTCCAGCACCAGCACAGAGGCAGGCCCAGCGCTGAGGGTTTTCAGTGGTGACGCCACTTGCCTGAGACTACACGGCAGGAGAGGCCACTGGGATCTGAGCCCTTGTCCTGGAGGCGTGTGCTGCTTCCTTCTTCCGTAAGGGACTCGGGGGACTTGTTTACTTGGGACCTGGGGAGCTTTGGAGGTTCTGATGCCCCCGAATGTGGCAGGGGAAGGTTGGGCCACGGTCACGGGGGACATGCAGAAGCAGCTGGGCTGATAGCTCAGCGGGGAGGGGACTTCCCTGGCACATGGCTGACCTGGGCTCAATCTCTGCACTCCAGATGGGCCCCTGAGCACCACCGGGTGTGGCCCCCAAACAAAATTCAAATGCAGAGGGTAAACAGTGAGGGAAGCCAGGTTTATCCCAGCTTCTGTGGTCGAAATGAAGAGGATGCGGGCGAAGCCACAGGGAAAGCTCAAAAGCAGGGCCGGGTGTGGAGCCAAGGGGGAGGCCCAGCCTCGCACAGGGCTCCTGATGGGTCTGACCCCCTCACCACACGTGGTCTCCCGAGTACTGTCCGGCCTCACTCCTGAGCACGTGGCCAGGAATAGTCTACTGCCAGGTGCGGCCCCAGAGTCTCGAAATGGAAGGGGAACCCGAGAGAGAGCCACTGGTGAGGTGTTTGTCTTGCAAGTAGTTTTTTTTTTTCCTTGCTTTTGGGGTCACACGCGGTGATGCTCAGAGGTTACTCCTGGCTCTGCACTCAGGAATTTCTCCTGGCGGTGACTTGGCATGACCCAAAGTGTGGTCTGTCTGGACACCTAGTCCTGGGTTCACCAGCTCCCCCCAGTGGCTGGGAACAAGAGTCCCCCGCCCACTCCCCCCCTCCCCCCCCCCCGCCCACTCCCACCCCCTCCATTCCCACTTACCATTTCTTGGCTGTGCACCCCCAACGTTGTGGTTTTAGGGTCCCAGCTTGCCTTCTGCTTTTCTTTTTTCTTTTTTTTCTTTTTTTGCTATTTGGGTCACACCCAGCGAT